CCTTAGCAAAGCGCATCCCAGGCTGCATAGCCGCACTACCCTACCCAACCATACCACACATAAACATGACACTACCCCCGGGGTTTACACAGACGAGCCGGCGAAGCAAGAAGAGCGCCAGAAGAAAGGGCCCTAGCCGGCGGGGCCCAGCCAGGACAAAAGGAGGTCCCACAAAGCGCCTACACCGGCCGCATTTGCGGTCGGGGTAGACGACGGATGGGGCCCACCTACGAAGGCTGTCCAGGCCTACACGAGATGAGGCAGGATAAAGAGGGATAATCCCCCTCGATCCCAAATCATTGAGGCCAATTTCTAGCCATGGAATAATGGCGGGTTACTTCTCGTAATAGTAAAAAAATATACCATTCCAATAAAATTCCGCTACAAAAGTACTATTTTACAAATACCGACATAACAAAACAAAAAAAATCTAACCCTACCTAACCTATCACTTTAATTTTTTTTAAGAAAGCGTGGAAAAGCTAGACTGTGATGCAAAACTTATAAAACAGACCTTGCGCAAGTGTGGGCAAGAATATCTAGGTCACAGATATATTTTGTGGGTCACAGCATAGATATACTGTAATCTAGGTAGACCAAATATGCAGGACAAACGACGTCACGTTTTTTTGAGGTACCAACGTTAAATTAATTCCCCTAAAGAATTCTAACTTTAATTATAATGTAGAAAAAAAATGCTTTTAGTTACATTTTATTTATCTGGATTTCTATCCTGTTGTTTTGATGGGTCTAAATTCTAGGATGTGATAAGTGATATGATAAATTAGATTCGAAAATATTGTGATTGTAATTGAGGCAATAACAAATATATCTCTTTTCTCCGTTTTAGTTTATTTTAAGAGTATTTTGCATGTAGCAGAGTTTGCCATTAAGAAAAATGTAATATGAGCACATTTAGATGAATCAACAGGAAAACCCAATGTGGTTACAGTCTTGTTTGGTGCAGATAATTTAGAGATAATATTTGTATCATGGTATAATAAACTTAAGCAGGAAAATGGTTCCCATTCCAGCAGAGTATTTACCTGATTTTTGGAATCAAATTTCCACCGAGTGTACAATAGAAGTCACTTGCCTTCTACCAAATGGAATAATCATCTTATTAAACGTAAACTACAATGCCACACTCGCAGACATTAAAGAGGTTTATTATAACTTGGAACTTGAAGTAAGTTTTTTATAATTATCAACTTTTAGGATCTATGGGAGGAAGCTGCCAAGTTCCCTTTATATGGAAAACTGCACAACATGTCGGTGTACATATTTACGTACATCAATTCTATGGCCGAAAGAGAAAAACTGGTTGATGAGTCTCGAAGGCTATGCGATATTCGACCTACTGGTGCCGTTTTAATTATAACAGAATGTAGGGAAGAAGAAATAGACGATTCTCTCAATATTTCCATAGGTCATTTGATAGGCAAACGTATGTATGTTTTATATCTAAAAATTGGGCAACAAAAATGTTTATAATAATTTTAAGAATAACATTGAAAATATCAATATTTTGTGTAGAAGTAAATACAAGTATTATACTTCCAGGATTGCAGGAATTTGATGCCTTAAATAGTTCAGAGGTAAATGAGTTCCGTTTTAAGATGCGGAAAATGGGTGAAGAAATTGCCGATAATAGAAAAAAGCAGACTTGGCAGGAAAAGCTGTTTTACCAGTTCCCTCCACGTATATCAACAAATAGCTTCATATTGACCGAATATTTAAAAGAGAATAAATTCATTAAAATAGCATCCAAATTTGATAACGAATATGATAACTATTCTGAGAACAGAAGTAACGAGAAAGACATAATGCAAAGTTCTTTCACTTTTAACGTTCCGCCTAACATAAAACCCAAGAAGCTATTAGAAATGATTTTAGCCAAGAGGGCCACAATACTGAACCGCAGAAATGAAAGAACTAATGAATATGTTTTGAAAGTTTGTAGTCAAGATGATTTTTTAGTAGGAGAGTATGAAATCATAGAATTCCAATATATTCAAGACTGCATATCTAGAGAAATTACCCCAACTTTAGTCACAGTTCATGTAGACAGGGTGCCAGGTAAGTGCAAATTAAATTATGTTATTTAAATCTAACAATGAATTGTAGTATCCCAGGCAAACGATTACGAATCATTAGACATCTTTGACAATAAAAAAAACAAACCAGTGCCATATAATTCTACGAATACACTTCGTAAAAAGAAAAATACAGTGTCATCCTGGTCCATCACCGATAATTATGTAATGACAGTCAATACAATTACCAAGTTGAATGTAGATTCAAAGAAAAATCCAGAGGTAATGCTAATTCTATCAATTCTTACTATTGAAACTTAATTTCACCTTGATGTTATGCAGATTGGCCTTCAGTCTGGTTTTTTCCACGGTGGAAAGCCTTTGTGCGAAACTCAGAAAACATCTGATAGAGTAACTGATGAGAAATGTGATATAGAATTGGATATTACATTAAATTTTGATATTCAAGTACATAACATACCCAAAACTGCCAGGCTTTGCTTTGTTATCTATGAGATTGTAAGGGGAAAGGGAACTAAGTCGAAAAAGTTTAAAGATTCTAGTAAGGTACGTAGTACTATCACAGAAGTTTGAGAGATTACCTATTTTCTTATAATATTTAAGGATTGGATGCCCAATCCCTTGGCATGGGTTAACATGACTGTATTTGACTTCAAAAGTCAGTTGAAAACAGGTGCAATGACCCTCTACATGTGGACTTACACTGAAGAGATAAATTCAGAAATGATTCTCAACCCCTTAGGTACGGTTGTCTGCAACCCTAATACAGAATACGCCACTGCAATATCCATACATATTAAAAGGTAATATCCTTTGAGGTGTCTGAAACGTGTTACTTATATATCTTCTTTTTTACAGTTATGCAAAAGATCAGATAATACTATTTCCAGATATAGAAATCATGAAAAGTTATGCTAAGGAAATCGAAATGCAAAAAGAAAATGAATCGGGGGAAGTACCTGATATTCAGCTTTATAAAAAACAGCTTTACAATTTTGATTTGTATGAAATTCATGACCAGGTATGTCTTACGATTTATATTTATTTTTATCTATTCGTACTTTTTAAGTAATTGTTTAGTATTAAAATAAATATTCTAAAAGTAGTTATGAAAATGGTTGATACTGGTACTTACGAGGCATATACACAAATTAAGACTACCCACTGAGAATCTGATGATCTGCGGTTTTGGTTTTCGACAATGTTGGCAATACTACATTCAAGGCCGAGATATTGAAAGCAGAACGCGTGCTCAGTCAGTTGAGAACTGTTGTTGCAGTGGTGTGTTGAAATAAATGTCGCTATTTCGAATCCAGCCAGCTGCTAGGCGAGGAGCGTAATCCGGCTTCTTCTTGCAAAAGGGCCGTCCCAGATTTTTAACAAAATCAATACTGTTTATGGGGACGGTGTGATAAATCGTACTAATGTGTACAAGTGGTGTCGTAAATATAAACCTGGCAGAACAAATGTTCATGATGAACAAAGAAGTGGGCATCCCTTAATCGTGATTGACGAGATGGTGACAAAGATCGAAAAAATGCCTCGTGGCGATCTTTGATTGAGTTTGGAAGAGATGAATGCAGTGTTTCCACAAATGTACAGATCTCTTCTGCATGAAATCATTACTGAAACACTTGGTTATTGAAAATTATGTGCGAGGCGTGTACCAAAACAGTTCACGGATCAACACAAATCCAACAGAATTTCACCTTCTTGGGAATTCCTCGAGCGCTTCGAACTGGAAGATGAAAAATGTTTTGATTGTATTGTGACTGGCGACGAATTGTGGGTGGCCCACTACATCCCTGAGACAAAAAGACAATCAATGCAGTGGTGACATCTGTCTTTGCCATCAGCGAAAAAATTGTTTCTGAAACCACTGTTTCAGCCCAAAAAATCATGGCAACTGTGTTTTGGGACTGTTGAGGGATTCTTCTCATTGAGTTTTTGCACCAAGGAGATACTATGGTACTATGAAGTATACACTGAAAACACTACAGAGGGCGATACAGAACAAAAGAAGGGGATGTTAACGAAGGGAGTTTTGTTGCATGAGAATGCACGTCTCCACATAGCCAACTCCACAAAGCAACTCTTGAATTCATTCAGTTGAAACATCATCAACAACCCCACTCACAGCCCTGACCTGGCACCTTCTGATTTTTCTCCCTCTAAAGGTATTTATGGGTGGAAAAAGGTTTTCAGAAGGTCAGAAGACGTTAGGGTCCACAGTGACGTGAAACAATGGCCCGAGAGGCAGCGGGAAATTTTTTTGACAAAGTTATCAGGAAACACTACAAAGTGCATTGAGATAGAAGGTGACTATATTGAAAAAAGTGTTTGATGTACCTTTTTAAGTATGTCAATTTTTCATAAATATACTGCCATTTCGATTTTTTTAAAATTGAGTGTTTTTACTTTGTAGATATGCCTTATATTTTGAATTTTCCTATTGAAACAAAAAAATATTGTACATTATCTGCATATGTAAGATAAAATATATACTTTTCTAGGACAGGAAAAATATGTGGGCTCTCAGATATTACTGGCGTGACCACAATCCTGAATTTTTACCAAAATTGTTGTTGTGTATAGATTGGGATAAAAGGGAAGATGTTAGTCAGGCTGTATGTCTGTTAACAGACTGGCCTAAGTTACCTATTGAGAAATCTCTGGAATTACTAGATTTTGCATATGCGGATCATGAAGTTAGGAGCTTTGCTGTAAAATGCTTATGGGATGTCAGGTCAGTATTACTTTTTTTAGTGATATTCGGATGGTTCTTTTTCTCTATAATTTTATTGTTTTGTTTTTAGTGATGAAGATTTATTACTTTTTCTTCTGCAATTAGTGCAAGCAATTAAACATGAAATATTCACCGATTGTGATCTGGTACACTTTCTTCTAAAGAGGGCTCTAATAAATCAAAAAATAGGACATTTCTTGTTTTGGCATCTTAAGTAAGTGCTGACCCCATTTGTACAGGGTATAAGCTTGGTGTGTAACTGATCAATATTTCAGAAACTTTTGTAATCGGAAAAAGTTAATTTTGGGATGTCTTGTGTATAATAGTGGAAATTAAAGTGTCATATTTTGATAATAAAGTGAGAGGACATTTTTTATAGGGAGTGGTTTCTAGATCTACTTAAAAAACTTTTAGATTTTGAATGAAAATTATACAATAAAAATTTAAAGTAAGGGCAGCTGACTGAGATTTGGAAAGAGGTTGCAATGTATTTGCAAACTTCATTTTTCAGGAACCTCATGATCTACAATCACTTTTATTTCAAATTTTCAAAAAAAATTTATTTTCTTTGAAGTTTAAAAAATATAATGTTAGTGTAAAAAATAATAAACGTTTCAGTTTTGTGAAAAATTAAAAAAATTGTACCTATCAGTTGATTACGAAAAAAATATTTTGTACATTTGTGCATCCCTTTTTGAAATCTTCTGGTGAGATAATTAATTTTTTATTTTTTAAATTAATTTTTCATCGTGGTAGTTCTCTATATCTGAAAACCACCATTTTAATTAACTATGGTTAATGTAGTAACCCCTAGTAGTAATAAACAGGATATTTTTATCAAAATGCTGGAATAAGCATACATTTTCTGTATGTATCTGTATTTACAAAAAAAGAAATGGGTAGTTGATACAATTTGCAAAAAATCTTGGTACTTTTTTTTGTATTTTCAATTTGCATTTGGTTCTTGACCATAGTTTCTAAAATTAAAACATATTCAGTATGTATATCAAGTTTTAACAGGAAACAACTACTTTGCGGATTAATGCCCCAACGAGTATAATTATACCTACAATATCTAATAAAAACTAGCATCATTTGTCAGTAGAGATATCGGACATATGTGAGTTTCAAACTTATTAGTCCTTATCAGTATGCCATAGGTGAGCCAACCGATGAATGATCCTATCCTATTTTCAGTGCTGGTCAGGGCATTAACACACAGAGCTGTTATTTGCTGCAGTATTATCAGTCAAAATGATATTTGTTTGAATAGTGCGGCGACACAGGTATTACTTTCATAGTACCTTTGAAATAGCAGGTCGTTCTCTGCCAGTTTGGCCACCTAGAAAGCCTAGACGTTGAGGAGCAGTGACCATTCATAGATCATGAAAACTTTTTCACTTTAAATCGAACCCATATCTTTTTCTTGATATAGTGTAAAATTAAATTCACTGTGAGGTTTTTTTGAGTTTCCTTAATTTTCAAAAATATTTCACGAAAAATTATTGTGAAATTAATTAATTTTTGTGTTTTAAATTATTGATCCAATTATCCACATTTTTCTACATTTAGGTCAGAAATGCAAGTGCCTTCAGTGTCGGTCCGCTTCGGTCTCATCCTAGAGGCGTACCTCAGAGGCACCCAGGAACACATACACATTCTGCAAAAGCAACTCGACTGTGTGGAGACATTGAAGAAGTGCAGTGATTTAATTCGAATAAAAAAAGACAAGGAGAAAGCTCGGGGTGTGTTAAGAGAATATCTCAGTAAATCGTCAACTGAATCAGGTTTCAACTACAGCAGAATTCCTGCGCATCATACTAGGAGTCCCCTGGATCCCAGCTACAGGTGTAGAAAAATTAAGTAAGTATTACCAGATGGCAAATTCTGATTATTTAAATTATTTTCGTATACAGGGTGATTTATTAGAACTCGGCAATAGTTTAAAAGACCACCTGCAAAATTTCAGAATCAATTCATTCTATTTTTTTTGTACCCTAACTGTCCATGTATGTATGTATGTATGTATGTCGGAGGGTGGTGAAATTGTCTTCCACCACGGCATTTAGGCCTTATTAGGCCCCTTGTACACCCTCCTTCATTACACAAGTACTTTTCTTGAAACCATCTTATTTACTACACGGATGGCTTGGTGGCGAAGTCTCGTATAGTTTATGTATGATGGCATGGTCTTGAGTTACAGAGATTTCTTGCTCTGTTCTCATTACCATTTATCGGGGAGCACACGCGTGCGGTAAATGTTGGGCGACCCAGGTCTCTTGGTAGGCTGCCACAGCTACGTCCCCGAGCCTGCCTTAGGTCACCCATCCAAATTCCGGCCCACCAAGACACTCGGCTAGGCGGTCCCCCTAACTGTCCATATTATGCCCTGTGAAGTACAATTTGATAGTAGTCAGGTTTAAGAGTATAGCAATAGATGTGTATAAGGGATTAAGTCCATGGTAATGAATCAATATTTTTTTAAATTAATTAATTTAAATAATAACTATTTTGTTATTATTTTGTTTTAAGTAACAATATGGAATTAATTTAATTGGTATGTACGTACCAACATACATTCTGTCAACAAAGTATCCGGAATTTGTCACTAAAACACAATATATTCAATTAATCCTCAAAATTTATTTTGTCTCCCTCAAAATAGGTTCCATTTGAAGCAATACACTTTTTCCAATGAATAAGCCAGTCATCGAAGCACTTTTTAAACACATACTCTAGTACGAACTTCAACGTCTTCAGTGAATTTTGTTTTATGGGTTGGGTTTGGGAAAGAGGACAAACTCGGCAAGAGACATATCCGGCAAATACGGTGGCTGCTAGATAACATTCGTGGAGTTTTTGGTCAAAAATTCATTCACAATTATCGCTTTGTATGTTAGTGCATTATCGTTGTGCAAAGTCCAAGAATTGTCCTTCTTCTGGACTTTTGCGGCATATACTCTCTCAAACACCTCATAATCCCCAAATAATCTTTGTTGACTGTTTCTTCATACGGAAGGAATTATATGTCAACAACACCACAATAATCAAAGAAGATAGTCAACATAATTTTGATTTTTGAACGCCTTTGATGTGGTTTTTTCTGGTTTCGGCTAATTAGAAAAACACCATTCCGAGGCTTGTTGGCTCGTTTCCATTTCATACTCATAAGCCCATGTCTCGTCACCCATTTAATACGTTGCATTAATGTAGAGTCCAAATTAGTTCATTTAAGCATGTCTTCAGCAATATTTTGCGATGCTCCTTTTGAAAAAAAATCAGCTCTTTTGGAACAAGCCGTGCTGCAACACGTTTCATACCCAAAATAGCAACTAGAATGGTGCGAACTGATTCATGAGCTATGTTTAGTTCTCTCAAACTATAACCAAGGTTTATCGATGTTTTCTTCAGTTGAAGACGTTGAAGGAGGAGCAGAACATGGCAAATCATCAGCCACTTCTCGACCATGTTTGATTGCTTTGTACCATTCGTATGCTTGGGTTTTCGATAAAACAGAATTACAGTACGACTTTCCCAACATTTTCAACTATTCAGCATCAGAAATTCCGTTGGTAGCACAAAATTTTAGACAAACTCTTTGTTCAATAACATCCATAGTAAAAATCGCGTAACACACTTTAGATGGACTAACAAAATTAACAGCTGTAAACAAACTACTTGCTACCAATTTTCCATCAAAAAAAAAAATTAAATCTACTTTACGCAGAATTTTTAAATGTCAAATTCCAGAAACTATTTTAACAGAATATATGTACAGTTCAACATAATGTTGCAACTTACCAATAAGTTCCACGACTATTATAAGAAAATTCCTAGCTGAGTACCCGAGAAAAGGCCCATCAGATTTAAAACATAGTGTCGAAAATTCTATGTGAAAATCTCTGTCATCCATTATCGTACCTAACAAATTCTAGACGTTTCGAACTTTATGTCAATAAAAATTTTGATATGGCTGTTGGAATGTACCCAAAAAGATCCGCAGTGTATAGAAAATGTTTTTTTTTTCACAGATGTGGTTGTATGTATGGATAGAAATGTATATCTTGTTTAAAGCCAAGAAAATCCATATGTTATTCGTCACTTCGAGCACAACATCGATTTTCTATAATCTTTTATCCGTTTCTGTACAATAATAGAGTAATAGAACCAGAACTAATAGGTTTCTGTGAGATAACTTATTACAAGATTTATCTTTATACATCTTATGGACATGTTCCTGACTTTTTGAGTGTGAAATATCCATGGCGATGGATGGGCCCAATTGGTTTTATATATTGGCCCCCGAGAAGTCTAGACTTCACACGATTGGATATCCGTTGGGATACATAATAAACTTGGTATACGCTCAACCATTTAGTTGATCAATAATGCCACAAACATAATTTATGAGCTATGAAACAACTATCATATTCAAACTTACTGCTAGGAATGCGTATTTCACATGATCTTAAGTATATGACATCCATGGGTGGCGTGTTGAGGTCTCCTATCTATATGTTTTGTTTTATCGCATTTACCTTTGCACTTATAAACATAGCTCGGTGAGAACATCCATGTATTTAATTTTTGCCATATTCAAATAAATCACTCTATTTTCTCTTGAGGGCAAACATTTCTGCATTGCAAATGTACTCTTTTTATTTAGATACGATAAATGTAAAATTATGGACAGCAAAATGAGGCCCCTGTGGGTGGTGTTTGAAAATTCTGATACTTACGGAGATGATGTCTACATCATTTTCAAAAACGGCGACGATCTTAGGCAAGACATGTTAACATTGCAAATGATAAGAGTAATGGACAGGTTGTGGAAGGGGGAAAACTTAGATTTAAGGTTAGTAGGTTTTCAAGGATACCTCAAATTTATACTAACGTATAACTTTTATGTGTGTCACACAGAATGAATCCTTATGGTTGCATATCCCTAGAACATAGAGTAGGTATGATAGAAGTAGTTTTAAATGCCGAGACTATTGCGAATATCCAGAAGGAAAAGGGTATGTTCACTGCCACGGCTGCCTTCAGAAAGGGGCCCATTTTAGGTAAGAAATGTTTTAAAATGCTATTCTTGCAGAATGGATTTAGTTTATATAAAGTGTAACTTTGAATGGTGGAAATTGCATTTTTCTTGATTCATAATATCATACAAATTTATCCATGAAGACACACAAACACACAGACACTTCATTAATACCACTTTAAATTTTACTATAAAATTAAACTTAATAAAATACAACCCTAAACTATAAATTCTATTTTGATTCCAGTAAAAACTAATACTTCACAGTGAAAGTCCCAAAATTATCTACCATAAACGGATAAATTGAAAACTAAAATAAATGTAATAAAATGTTATTGTGACATATTTGATTGTCTTTTGACAAATTCACTTTGTAACGCATTGTTTTCATGTGGCATCAGGTGGATTGATATTATGTAGTCCATCTAAACTACGTGAATATCAGAAGTTATTGACACTGAAATTCACAAACTAAGCAATATTTAAAAAAAATAGTAACATACTTTTCATTAAAAATGGACTGTGAATTTGGTGATTCTATAACTACTACAAAAGATCCAAAAAAAAAAAAAACTGTTATGCGTATGAAGCACTCACATTACTAATTACTACGAGACAAAGTCGACTTACCCTGACCAGAGATGCATTCAGGAGAAAGGATTGTCCAAAGGGAAACACCCGCTCGATCGAGAGCTCTCGTGTCGTCTTACTAGGATTGTTTTGGAAAACTACATATTCTTCTGCCGGTCAGTTAAAATTTATATGAATCTACTGTTATTCGTCTATTAAGTTTTAAAGAACTAAGTAAAGGTATCTGAGATTTATATATTTCCCAGCGATTTAAAATTTCAGGAGGTGGAGGATCATCCCATCCCAATCCCAAAGTCCACAATTTTTGTATCAAAAGCTTAGAAATAAGAGTTACAGGGGTAAGAAAACCTAACGGATCNAATTCTTTTTATATTTTTTCTGATGTACTTAAAAAAAACTACAAAAATTATTTAGTACATTTTCTCTTATTCCAACAGTACTTTTATTTTATTTATTTAGTTATTTACAATATTTTATTCAATCAATCAGCGATCATAGACGTACGGTTTGTCATTGTTCATTGTAAACAGATAATTACGACTGATGACAAGATTTAGGGATTTTTGGTTGACAGTATCAGCCGTAAAATGTTGTTGCCTAAGCTCAGCGGTCACATGGCTTGTAATCATTTATACAGAGGTATAACAATTTGTCTTCAAGTTAATACAACTTGTCTAAATGTTTTTGCTCAAAGAAGTTAAGATATCCAAATGTAATTTTTTCTGCAAATACTTTAATAAAGCGTGAAAATATGTTTAATTTGAAACCAGTAGCATAGATATGAGTTATACCGATTACATTGTCCTCAAAAATTATGACTGGACAAAAACTATTTTATTGTTATTTTTAAAATGTAAATTTTAAATATTACATATCATTCATTTCTTTGGATTTATTTACTTTTTGCAAAACCACAGGACATATACGAATTTTTTACAACAGAATGTGTAACTAATTAATGTTGAATCACAGAAATGTATTGACAACAATTTTACTACCAGGAATTCTAACTATTTTTATAACAGATATTTCTTTAACATTAATCATGAAACATTGAAGAGGAATTATAAGTATTTTGTTGTTGCTATTTTGCAGCAATTTGCAATAATTAATATTTTTTTTCATTTTAGTGCCTTTAGAAATTTTACGATAAAAAAAATACAGGAAATGTTCATGTGAACATAAATCCGAAACAGGTCATTTGAAAAATGCAGTGTAATAAAGTTTTATTATTTTTTAATGATTCTAATTTCGTTTACACATTTTTTTAAAGATGATTTGTTTAAATTTTTTACATTCAACACATTATTTAACTCCAATGAAATGTAGAAATTACTGATCGATTTAATCTACAGGGTGATTATTTTTTGATTCCACAACGAACTAGCTCCTGAGAAAAGACAATTTCTTTATTTTATCCTTTAAATTATTGTCCTCATGAATTTTTTTGTATCTGGATGGTATTCAACAAAATATGAATTAAAACATGGCCATATTTTCCTTGTTAGCTGTACTTTAAAATAAATGGTAATAATGTTGTGTCTGGTGATGTAATCGGTCAGCATTGGTACAAATATCAGGGTAATCATAAAATAATGAGAAAAACTGAAAAAAAAAAACAAGAATTGCTACCTTATATTCATATTAACTTTTTTTCTTTTCTTATTTTCTTATTTTTGGTAAGAGAATCACGTGAAGACTTTTGTTGGCGAAATATTGCAAAACTCTTTATAATTAAAGAATTATATATTTGAATTCATTAATGGAGAGCTTGTCAATTTTTTTTTAAATTTGTGTCCTTGAGATAATATAATTCGGTATAATAGTAAGTATATAATATTTATTTTCAGCATGGTTAAAAGACTACAATACAACTGAAGCTGCTTTAAACAAGGCAGTGACTGAATTTACACTGTCGTGTGCTGGTTATTGTGTGGCCACGTATGTCTTAGGAATTGCAGACAGGCATTCCGATAATATAATGGTCAAGAGGAACGGTCAGGTACAGCGTAATTTTCAAATATCGATATTCCATAGGAAACATAACATTAGTAACATTATTTTGAATTACTCATTAAAAAGAACTTGTTACAAATGTGTTTTGACATAAAATTTTATATTTTCAGCTTTTCCACATTGATTTTGGGCACATATTGGGCCACTTTAAAGAAAAATTTGGATTCAAAAGGGAACGAGTACCTTTCGTGTTAACACATGATTTTGTTTACGTTATAAATAAAGGACAAAATTCTAAAGCATTGGAATTCAAAATTTTTCAAGAGTACTGTGAAAAGGTAAAGTCACTGAATTGTTTGTATAAAATTATAAGTTATATTTTTTAGGCATTTATGATTTTACGGAAACACGGTAATCTAATATTGTCACTTTTCGCGATGATGATATCGACAGGTCTTCCTGAACTGACCTCTGAAAAGGATCTCAATTATTTACGTGAAACTTTGGTAAGTCGGCTCCCCTATAAAATATATCATCCTCTAATGATGTCACTACCAGCAGTTTAGGCAGTCTCTAATAGTAAACAACAGATCTTGCCATATGAATGAATGACTGGCTTTTTTTTATATGTGTGAAAAGTTTGTTCTTTTTATTATCAATAATCCATCGTGTGATAAATAATGGAGGGAAATACAAAAAATTTACTTTTAAAGTTCATGTTTGTGGTTGCCCAAAATTTGAACAATATAACAAAGAAATTTAACCTCGAAGACACACAAACACACCGTACCCTCACTACACACTGAAATAATTAACATTATTTGGTTATACACTTAAATTTCACTAAATACCGCTTTAAATTTTACCACAAAGTTAAACTTAATAATATACAACACTGCACTATGCAAATTCTATTTGAATTCCAGTAAAAATTAATACCTGCGTCGTCAAATTAATCTGGGCCATTTTTTTTACCCAACTAGTGTCCTATTGTCATATCACCTCCAATAGACTGGTATTATGTAGTTCACCGAGAATAGTTCAATGTCAAAAATCATTTGACACTGAAATTCATAATCTAAACATAGTGCTTTCAAATAATAGTAACTAATACTTTTTATTAAAAACTTGAAATTAAATACTTCGAATCTATCAGTTTGGTAAGTATTTTTATTTATTTTTTATTATATGTATACACTTTATAAAACATCAAAATTAAGTATTTTAAAATGTAAATTAGTTTCACACTTAGAGTAATGGCTCGCCAGGTGACGCAAGTGATGCACCGCTTTACCTAAAATTTCCGTTTGGTTGTGGAACTTACAATTATTTTTAATTTTATATAAATTTTATAATTTAAGTATAATTCTATATTGAAAATATATTGTTTGTTTAATACGTAGAAATAAACAGAATAGTTGCGCGGTGAATGCCTTCTAAAAAAACATTGCCTTCGTTGAGTGCGAACATCAACCTCATATCATATAACGTATAGTATAAGTAAGCGACTTAGATTAAAATCAGTGTGTATTCCGCTTCTCTTCATAGCGTTGTTTATGGCGGTTGTCATGGCAACGACGCGGCCAACATGGGAGTAAACTACGGCACGGGGGAACGAGTGACGCGGAAATTGAAGCAGCATTGTCATCGCCTGCCTTCAAACAGTTTATACGATACGCTTTGCCCAGTGCACGATTAAAACAATTCTTGGTTAATATTTGTTTTGTATAATAATTGTAGAAATGTTTCCTATGTATGATCCAGTATGTATTTTATTGGAAACGCCATTTTCCAGAAAATTGAGGACAAAAAGGGTTTTTTAAATTGCTAAAGACCTGTGCCTTATTCTCTCGATATGGAAAAAAGGGGAAGTCAAAAAACAATGTGTATGTTCGGAAGTTTTGGAATGAATGGTATTCGGAGTATAAGAGGTTGTGTGGATGTGTTTATTTAAAATAACTTACCTGTATGCCGTGTTTAATTCTGGGTGTAAAGTCAGGCGTGTGGAATAAGGAGGGATTTAACAATTTTGGGAATGTCACGCGAGGCTGTAGTAACCACAAAGCTTCTTTGAAACAATATATGGTATGCGTTAATGTTTGCAGAAGTCCACAAGCTGAACTAATATTTCCATTTTTTATAAAATTTAAATGAAAATCCTTATCGCTAACGTCAGTTTTTCGGTAATATTGCAAATGCAACTAAAAATTTCCAGATTTGACCTTGAAAATTAGAAAATTTTCCCTTGCGGGGTTTTTTTTTCTTTTTAGTCAATCAATGAATATACTTCACCTATTCTCAAACATATAAACATTTTTTTGTTCAGTGGTTCATCTGCTGAATCCGCACAATTGTCTGCTGATGTCGATTGGTATAAAAAAATAAGGTGTCTTTAAAATAGCATGTTGCAAAGTCATACGAAAGCGATTTGTTTTTACAAGATTATTTTCCATTTCATTTTTGTCTTCTGCCACTTGTTAGTTTCATACACTTGGTTTAACGAGGCAACAACAGGTAACACTAATAAGTGCGGACATGCCACCGGTTTGGGAGCTATCTTATGGTGGTGTTAAAAAACAAATTATAACTCAGGTATTTAATATGATAAAAAAAAATAATTTCAGATTAGTATTCTGGGCAGCACATACAGAGCTTTCATAAATGATTACAAGCCACAAGACCAGTAATTTTGTTTGGAACAGTAATTTTATTTCCTTCACGTTGGCAATTAAATTTTGGTAAAATTAAACTTATTAAAAAAATAAAATCGAGATTACATTAAAACACAACATTCTGTTTCACCGGTTGGTGTAATTTTTCACGAGATTTTATTCAACGAATCCACGATTGCATTATTTCGAGCGTAGACGTAACGGTGCGTCATTATTCATTGTAAACGAATCATTAATGTTGATGACGCTAAAATTTAGGAAATTTTAGTTGACAGTATCAGGCGTGAAACGCTGGTTTCCTAAGCTGGACGGTCACGTGGCTTGTAAACATTTATGAAGGCTGTGTAAGAATATTAATAACTTCAACTGTCTCAGGTAGATTAACTTAACTGTTGGCATTCTTTTTCAGGTTTTAAATAAGACAGACGAAGAAGCACTGCAACACTTTAGAGCTAAATTCGACGAGGCCCTCTCAAATTCATGGAAGACGTCTTTAAATTGGGCCTCACACAATATAGCAAAGAATAATAAGACATAGTCATAATTCACTTAATTTATTTTTTATTGCGTTGCCAAGCTAATAATAAGAAAAAGTGCCAATATATGTACTAATTTATATGATACAGTGATGAATATTAGGTATTATAAATAAATAAATAAATTAGTGTGATAATGATATAGCTCTTGCGAGTGGCAGTTCTAATGATATTATCAATAATTATTATATTAACCGACTTTTTTATTTCTTAAATCTATATCTACATCATATATACAATCTACATATACAGGGTGTCGAGGAAATATCCTGGGTAATAGGAATTACAAAAATAACAAGTTTAAAAAAAAAATGTTTGGGCTCACCCTGTAGTTATTAGCTCGTGAAATTGTGAATAGCAATTGTTTATGTGGCAAAATAAATGCATAATGTCACACAGCATTTGATAGCAAGTACTTATTTTGCTGTAGAAATGACAAATTTTTGGTTTTGTGTTTTTATTTTCTCTGCATCAAATGCGTTGATCTCGAAGATGGTTTGTTGTATCGATAAGTGCACCTTTTTCACTTAAAAAATAATATGAAAATCTTATAAGTGGCGATAAAAATTAAAAAAGGTATGCCTTTAAATTTTTTTGGGGCCAAGACATGGGTCATTCAGCCCCCAGGCCCCCAAAGTGGATATCAGTAAATTAAATACATTAGTAGCAGTAGATTGAAATGGCATAGCTTTTACCAAAAAATTATCCAAATTTAATGAGAAACAAAAAAATTATAACCAAATCTATTTTTAACTTCAACTCTACAGGGTAAACCTAATAAAAAAAATATATAAATTAGTGACATTATTTTTGCAAGCTCTGCTCAAATCCAAGTGACTGCTAACCTGGACACTCCGTATTATGAAAAATTTTATTTTGCTTTTTAAATTGTATATTCGTCATAATATTAATTTTTTTAAAAACATTTTTAACAGATGGAATATTATAAATGAATGTTCTAAATTACATAATTTTTTTGGTATTATTGAATGTTAAAACAGTGTTTTGATTGATGATATATTTTGTTCAGGTCAGAAAAATTATTTCTCATCTTTTTTATATACAGGTTGGGCCATTAGTGTGAGAAAGTAAAATAACTCCCTTGTTATTCATAATACGGACAAAAGTTTATATAAAAGTTGTACAGAATCAAGAAACCTAAAGTACAAAATTAATTTGATACATACAGGGCGATGAGTAAAAACGGGACACCCCAAATATTATATTTTTTAAATGGAACACCCTGTATATTTTTAAACATATGGATTTCCAAGAAAATGCCAAATGTTAGGCAAAGACCCCTATATTAGCTAATATCGATATTTCATACAGGGCATTTTTTATAATATGATAATTTTAAGAAAGTTCAAACTTGATTTTCTAAAATGTTTAAATGGAACACTGTATTTTATTGTTCTATTTTATTCACATATCAGTCCACTTCAACTTTTATTAAGTATGTTCTACACCTAAAGTTGTTAGTTTTTAAGATATAGCAACATTTCTGGAAAAACCTAATTTTTGTTATTTTCAGTCGCACAAAATGGCTTTGGAAAAAAATGTCACATTGTGTCAACTTGGCAGTTCAAAATTTATCATTCCATTTTGAGTTAATTTTATTAGCTAACATTTATTTGTGGCGTGCTATACAATAATAAAAATTAAGTTTTTTCAGAAATGTTGCTATATCTTAAAAACTAACAACATAAGGTGTAGAACATACTTCATAAAAGTTGAAGTAGACTGATATGTGAATAAAATAGAACAATAAAATACAGGGTTTTCCATTTGAAAAATTTTAGAAAATCAAGTTTGAACTTTCTAAAAATGATCGTATTATAAAAAATGCCCTGGAGAAAATATTGATATTAGCTAATATAGGAGTCTTTGCCTAACATTTGCGTATAACTCTGTCAAATATTTTTGCTCCAAGAGTTAGTAGTTGAAAGTTAATACAACTTCTTCGAGGTCATGTTTTTTCCAAAATTGGAAGAATTTTCTACATGACTTGGCAACCCCGCACTAAAATGAACTGTTTATATTGCCATATATAGAATTTTCTCAGAAATCCATATGTTTAAAAATATGCAGGGTGTTCCATTTAAAAAATGTAATATTTGGAATGTAATGTTTTCACTTTTGTAGTTTAGGTTTCTTGATTCTGTATAACTTCTATATAAACTTTTTTCCTGTGTTATGAGTAACAAGAGGAAGTTATTTTACTTTCTAACATTAATGGCCCACCCTGTATGAATCTTTTCAACTTTTCGAAATGTTAATAGAAATTATATAAAGCTAAACGAAAAAGTTATTTAGAACAAAACATTTATTTCTTGATAATAAATTCCACATTTTCACTAGTTACGAATATAGTATTTTTTTATTTTTATTTAAGTCTAAAATTGTTTATTAGAAATTAGAAAAAAAATTGGAATTGCCACCACACCAGCGATATACTGCTACAAAGAATTGATTTGTTAACATTAGAAACTTTAACAGGTGGATGCCTTAATAAAGCAGTTTGTGTAATATTTCTAAGTAAAAAGTTTTTTTATTATTGAAATTTATATATTATTCATATATTTTATAAAATTTTTCAGGTGATTTTCCAATTGTAACACTGTTTTTTTTAATTTAGTGTTCAATTTCAATTTAGTGTCAATGCAATGTTAGGATAATTTGATATGTACAAACTGAATAATTTTTATGTAATTTTTAATTATATAGTTTAGATAGTACACTGAGTGCAAACATATAAGCAAGATATCTCAAATAAATGATTTCTTAATTACTCTTAGTCTTTATGTATAAAATCCATTTAATTTCCTCTGCAGAGAAACTGTAATGTGCTGTTCATTTCGCATAATGTTCCAGTATATTCAGTCTGCACACTCACACTTGTGGCATACAAATAGAGATATGACTAAAGCTGCATGGCTTGATTCTTGAAATCATGTCGTGTCTCAGTTTCCAGTTAAGGTGTGTCAGTGCTGATCATAACCGTACTAGTGAAAAAGACATTTTCACATTTTGGTTATTCCAATAACTGTTGTTAAAAATGGAACTATGAGAATATTGGTGGCCAATCTGATGATTAAGGTAGTTGTAAGTGAGCACTATAACAAATCAAGAACATTGTATGATAAATGAACTCGAACACAAGGTATGGAAATGTCAGTGAGTGATCTCGTCAAAACGCGCAGTTCTTTAACAAAAATCTCAGTTGTATTTATCGGGTGGTAAAAAGTGTCGAAAGTGTAAAAAAGTGAATAATAAAGTAGAAAATAATTATCATTCTCATAATGACAAATATGCGATCCATAAGAAGATTCATGGGTTTTATTTTAAAAATGGACTTCCATTGTAGAAAAATCAAACTGTCATTGCAGAAAACAAATATTTGTCTAGATTGTCCCAAAAAGTTTTTCGGCGTACTAGCATAAGTGAAACGAATTTTCAGTACGTGAAGCCTAGTTTCACACTTGCCGGATCCGGCTGGCTCTTTCACACATAATTTAATTTTCATACCGGTTTGGCCGATATTAGTCTCAGTTGCATTTTTATCACGACAAGAGATGAATCGTAGACGCATTGCAATTATGTGGCTTGGCTATTGCCGACGTTGCAATAAAAAAAAATTAAAAATATGAAAAATATTTAAAAAATATGAAAAGGCTAAAGTTTTGTCCCAATGGACAGGTCTGGTTTCAACCAGTGATATAAAGAATGTAATATCTACTTCTAGCGCACAAACATTCGACATAGTGGTGTACAAATATTTAAGGAATTTATTGACACGTCCTGTTCTTTTCAATGAAACCGGACGACTGAACCCGGCTAGCACCCAGTAAGTATGAAAGCGTCAATACAAAACTATGCACTACTACCACTTCGGTCGCCGGTTAGCCGGTACACGGCAGCCGGGCTGGCAGTGGTGGCTACCAGCTACAACCCGGCGACCGTTCGCTGGATATCTCCTTCCGTCACGTGTGAAAGCTGCCATAAGACTCTGTACACCTTGCTGCCGGGTAATCGGATCCGGTTAGCCGGTTCCAACATGTGTGCAACGGGTGGAATGAAATTGAAAAAGGTTTTTAAGAGAAAAGAACAAAATTGTAGTATTGCGAAGAGAATATTTAAAAAATAATAATAAAGTGCTGTATATCGAAAATGAAAATTTACTAACTTGAAACATAAATAAATGAAAAACGTACGGTCTGAAATTCAAAAATGTGATTTTATGTGATGAGTCTCAATTATTTTTATCAAAAGAGCCCTAAGAATTCCTGTTTGTGTAAAATATCCTTTGTAGAACCCTGCATATTTAATAATTTTTACTCCCTAAAATGATACGCCCATGGATGGCTTTCTCCGCACGTTTTACCCATCCCTACTCCACTTACTAGGGGAAAAATGTTCGCTTGTTAAAAACTATCTTGCTACATACCCACTAAAAAGGGGTCATGGTCCGCCACTGCTGCCTACTGTTATACAGGGTGTCTCACGGTGACGGCCCATTAAAATTATTTCTGAGATTACTGCTTTGATTTGAATTTTGAAAATTTGGGATCCTGGGTTTTCGGGCATGCCCTTCTCAACTAAAATAGTGGCGTCCACGTACCACTTCCGGTTATACCGGAAGTCGCCGTCAACTTGCTTATTTTAAATGGAACACCCTATATATTATTGCAATTTTTGATTCTACGTGTTATTTTAAGTGGACTTTTATGAAGTTTCCCTATTTCTAAAAATAACCGTTTTCCATATATTTAATTTAAAAAAAAAATGGAGAGAAACAGTGACTAGCTTCAAACCATGTGTATTTTATATGTAGTAAGAAAAATAAAGCAACAATATTTATAGGGGGTGGGGATAGCTAGACCCCTAAGCTTCCCATCCGTACTTTCAAAGTGACTTAATTGCATACAGGGTACTAGAAATTTAATGCCGAGTTTAGTTAACTTCAAACCTTCGTAAGTCGGATTTTTTTAATGGAACGGCCTATATGTTTTTCTATATTCCGATTCACAATTTTATTCTCTTTTGAACGGTATCAGGGTTCCCTATATCTATCTCTTCTAGTTTTTAAGTTATTTACTATTTTTTGTGTAATCGCCTAAAATCATGTAATTTCTTGCGAGGATAGCTGTGGAATTTTTAGCAAAACTTCAAGTTGATGACGACTTCCGGTATAACCGGAAGTGGTACGTGGACGCCATTATTTTAGTTGAGAAGGGCATGCCCGAAAACCCGGTCTCCCAAATTTTCAAAATTCAAATCGAAGTAGTCTCTGAAATAATTTTAATGGGCCGTCACCGTGCTACACCCTGTATATGGACCTATATTTTCCGTAACTATGTTATCAGATATCAACAATACAAATAGCATTCCAAACAAAAATCCGGCGAAGTCACTTTCTAGAAAAAAAATGATTTGGCACAAATTCTGAGACACTTTTTGTGCTATTGCTCATTAGATATACAGGAAGATGGATTGCATTCCTAAAAAATTAAAAGTTTAATGTAATAAGATCTACATTTTTACGTAAAAGTTTTCACACAGTAAATCTACACATTTTTTAATAATTACAATTTTCCGTATACATAGTATAAATTTAAATAATTCTATGTATAATTTAATTCAGTATGAAAAAATTAAAAATTATTTTAAATAAAGCGCCAGAAGTTATGTGACCCAAAATACAATATTTTCATCTCTTTCTTGCTTAAAATCCATTATATCTTTTATTCTTTTCTTCATTGGCCAAAAGCAAAATGCAATTTCTTTTGCCTCAAGTGAGTGGTTTATTAAATTTTTGCAGTAGCAAGTGGAAGTTGTTGTGTGTTACTGTGGCATTGTGTGCAACAGATAGATAATAATTGCAGTTGTGTTCGATATAATTAAAACGTGGTGGATAAATTAAATTAACGATACAATTATCAAATAGTGCTTCAAAGAACATAAGATCTCACAAAGGTAAGGTTATGTAAAACGAGAACTTTTTAAAATAAATTGATATTCAAGTATCTAGGTATTTTACATTCAAAAATTTCAATTATAATATAAATTAAATTAGGATTTTTTTTATTTAATAAGAAAAAATTGAGGGCAGATTATATTACAGAAATTAAGTATTTACGTAAGTACCTACACTGTTAAAATTGCAAATAACTAAGTAATTAATAGTGTTACAATCATAATATAAGTAGATGTGAATTTTTAAACTTCCAACTTGTTTCACAATATAACGTGGTTCCTGAAAATTTGCAATTGTTCATCATTATCAATGAACAGTTTTATTTCCCGAACTTGAAAAAAATAAGTTGCCTAGATATATTTTAGTCTTAATTTAACAGAAGTATTAACATAATTCCTTATCTAAATAACATAATTGCCTTTGGAAAATTAACAAAATGTGGACCATAATTATGATCTCGTCAACGAAAATAAGAAACGTGTTAAAGAGCACGGTGTTAAATTTTACCAGTCATTCACTAAAATAATATATCTAAATGAGTATTTTGTAGGTCATCATTCATCAACAATGTTTTGTGCAGGTATTCAAAATATTGAAGCAAGATAAGGAGAAAAATCTTGAAAAATAGTAATTTGATAGTATTTCAAATTATTTGAAGTATGTGTTCTTTAAATTATGATACTTAGGTACATACCTATACTTATATAAAATCCGCCGATTAGCACTTTTTACTTTCCCTTTGGCGTACGTTCAACGCTTTTTTTTTACTACCTACGATTATTTGAATTATTTATTTTCTCGTTTTGGGTTGGCAGAATACTAGTATATGCCTACCTGTATAAGTTACAATTTGTATTGTATATTTTATCTAATTTTGCCACAAATATAAATTAGACAGGACCGTAATCACCATTTTAGTTCGACGTAAAGATGTTGGAAAAAAATAGGGCAAACAACTAAGTAGGTACTGCAATATATCTGCGTAAAGCAACTATGCTATGCTATACAACTATGCTATGCTGCTATGTGTCTTAGGGAAAGCAATTGGCTAACTTTTGAACTTCAGATATTTCCTCGAACTTTTTCAGTATCTTCTAGGTAATTTTTTAATCTGAAACAAAAACTTAATAAATTAAAAATTGTATGTCTGCATCATAGATTAATTAAATGCGAGAAAAGGCGTTTTAAGTTAGAATAGTTAGATATACTTATTATTATAGGTAGGTACTAAAAAAATCCCTGCAGTGAATAGCTTCTAAAAAAATCGCAACAGATCATGGTTTGCCAACTAGATTATCGTAATAGGTTCAGTAAGTGCATTTAGAAGGCCACTATATAAAAAACATTCAAATTGGGTGTCCCAAAAAAAATTTAGGAAGGTTGGTTGTTATTGTGTAAATAAATAAACTAAACATTGTTTAAAATGTTTCATTATTTTGTAATTATCCTGTTAGTGTAATTAACAGCATTATGCGTTTATTTAACAATATTTAGCAAATGAGATTTTAATGATTAAAAGTTTCTGCTCTAATGTCAGAACTGAGACGCGGGACATAGGCGTACGCATTGTTAATTAAAAAGCAACAAATAAAATTGTCTACAATACGCCACCATAAACACGAACGGATAGAAATTAATTACGCAACGATAGGAATTAATTACGCACGATAACAAAAACAACTAACTATGCTATACTAACATGACGTAAACGTTTTCTTTTACAATTTTAGTTTTCTTTTGATGAATAATTGTGTGTAATTATGTCGAGCGTAGTTAGTGCTAAAATACAGCAAACAATTCATACTATAATAACTAAAAAAAAAAACAAATTTAACGGTCAATAGCTGTAAAATTATTAACATGTAAAAACTATTCAGATGGAAAACAAAGCAGATATATTTTTTTGGAATACCTTTAAAATAATTTTATGAAAGTATATGAAAATAATGAGTTCTAAAAATACCTATTTAAGCTGTCCCCTTCGAATAAATGTTTGATTTTTTATTTTTTTTTTTATAAAATTAATAAAAAATGCAAGGAGTAATAAATAAATTATGTACTCAGGTCAGCATCACAGCTTTATCAGTAGTAAATTTTTCCAACAAAGAGGCACTCAAGACGCGTTATTTCAAGTGCATGTGGTTATAGGGAAGGTTAAATAACGAACAACTTTCTTTTACTAAAAAAATATAAACAATAATGTAATTCAGTATAGACATACTTGTATATGTATAAAAACGTTTAAAATAAATATTAATAAACATAAAGTAATAAGTATTAAACAGTGCTCAACACACGTATAAAAAAAGACTCAATTTATGTTTGATTTAATCTTCATACTGATTGCATGTGTATAGTAAATAATAAAACATTTCATTCCTACTGGAATAAATACAACCAAATATTACATCAGTAGATGTTGAACGGCCATTCTCTTCAGATTATCACATCATTTTATCACCGCTGCGATTAAGTTTCTCTGAAACAATGGTAGAAACATACCTGGTGATGCGATCTATAAATCTATAACAGATCCCATCCATATTGTGGAACCGATGGCAACGATGCGTAAAACAATTTACGTGTTTCGCAATGATACAATGACATAAATCTTATAAACATTGTTCACTTTATTTTATGTTGATCCGCACGCCTTTGATACGCCTATAAAGGTATCTAATCGAAAATATATCAGCAAAAAATTTCCAATTAAAAACAAATTCATTCTTCTTATAACTTTAATAATGTACAGTAAGGCTCTGTGCCATACAATGTTTTTTGAGTGTGTTATCTGATATTGACAGATTCCAAGATTTTTATCTAATAAATTCAATTTTACTATATAAATCGCGGAGAAAAGAATATAGATTACGTAGGTACTTATAGTTGTTGGTAAGACCATTGACGTCTTTGTTACTACTTTATTTGGTCAAGGCTAACCAGTAGATTGTAGCAATTCAACCAGCAAAAGTTCGTTTACGATTTTTTTAAGACACACATTATAAATTCGACCAAAAATAAGTTAATTTTGTCATCTAAATCTAATACTTCGACTACTTTTTAGGAATAATTTCATTAAAATTTTTAGCAAGGGTTGATGGATGCACGATGCACAGTGAAATATACTTATTAATGACGTTAAAAATTACTACAACAGAAAAAACGTCTACTGCCTCCTCTATATCTGATTTCTGTTGCAAAATAGCTATTAATGTTAAACAGAGGGATAATAAATTAACAAATTTGTATTATTGTAAAAATGCTTTTTGTCTATTTCTATTCGATTCGCTCAAGTTGTAGTAGGTACTAAAATAATTTGGCATTCTAACAAGAATATTTAAGAATACTATGTGGTATTTATTACATAATGTACACTAAGTATATATGAAATTCAAGGCGCTTTAATAATAGAATAAAAAATTTATTCTGATTTAGCAGAAAATAATTCCCGAGGGGGAAACCGCTGACTAAAATTTGTACACTAAAATACTCATTTTGGTAAATAATGCACTATTACTCAGATATTACTCACTATTGCTAGGATATTACTCATATTACTTCAATAATACTCATATTACTCAACTATTACTCATATTACCCAAATATTACTCATATTACACAAATATTACTCACATTACTCAAATATTACTCAGTTTACGCAAATATTATTTGTATTACTCTCTAATTGTCGCTTACTATGTTAGTGGGGTACAATCACGCCATTCAATAAACGAGGTTTATTTGTATACTTTCCAATATGGTTTACAAAAAACAAAATAACAAATATTGTATCTTAGGACTAAACAACAACATCAACTAAATTAAAATGCAGCTGGGAGTAAAAAACTAAACTTGGAAATAAATGTAGGTACCTATCTATAATAAATTTAATCTTCTTTTTGCTAATTTGTAGGTTTTTGGAATATTGTCAATTCTGTTTAATTCGAAAGGGCCACTTCCACTAAGTTCAACTGGACCATAGGTTTCCATACGTTTTTATCACTTTTATTTTTCCCCACGTTTTTAAAATTCTTGAATATGAGGGCATTCTCACTCAAATCTGGTGTTCTTGAATCCACTGAAGACAACTCTGATCGAGACTCTGACATTGTTTGAACTCGACTTTTGTTCAAAAATTCCGATTCTCGGCTCGAGGACTGATTGCTCACAGACTGGTGTGCTTTTTTGAAATAGTCTACCATCATTAAAATTGTTTCATGATGACCGCTTACTATTTTAAGGAGTTTCAGATGATTGGTAGGGTCTTCGGTAGGGTCCATAGTATTTAGGGTAGTCTTCGAGGTAGTCTTCTTTTTCGATAATATCTGGTAAATCATTTCTAGCAGAGCTTTCAATTTCGTTGAAAGAGTTGCCGTCAATTTTTGAAATTACAGATCCTTGATCATAACCATTTATAACCAGTAGATTTTTTACCATTTCAGGAATCTCCAAATTTAAGGCTGTTTCAACGTTAGAAAAACGGCCGGTCTCGGTATCAGCTATCTAAAAAAATATCTACCTAAGTATACAGGGTGATTCAGTTTTTTGTAGACAAACTTTAACAGGAGATCGAGGGGCGATCCGCTAAGGAAAAAACGTACGAAGATTACAAAATTTCTGAAATCTGTTGTAATGTATTTGCAGATTTCAATATCAATTCAAAAAAGATTACAAATTTCATATAAATAATCAAGATTACAATATCTCTCAACAGATTACAAAAAATTTCAGGAGATTTCAGTTATTTTAGTAGATTTCAATGATTATTTAAGATTTCAATAGGATTATTAGAAATTAAAAGATTTCTTAATATGGTTTCAAGGAATACGGGAAGATTACAATAAGTTTTGAATGTCCATTTGAACAAAAATAATTGAATTAACTTCAAATGTCATTCATTTCATTCATTAACAGTAGTACTTTGATTAAGAATTTCCAGTATCAGGCATTTTTTGGGCAAAAATTGTAACATTCTGATTAAGTTTTTTGTTCGAATGAACGTTAAAAACATTTTGTCATGACAAAAATGATAATGCTATTTTGAAAGTAGGTAAGTATTTTCCCAAAAACTAATAAATAAAAAATATATTAAGCTTTTATTATTACTTGCATTTAATACTTTACTTGTATACAGTGTGTTTAAAAAAGACGCGGCAATATTTAAGGGAGTGATTGCTCAGGTCAGTTTATAAAAAAAGTCCTATAAACATAGGTCCGCAAACGCTTCGTTACCGATCTACAGAATGTGAAATTTCATTAAAAAACAGTAAAAATTAAATTTCTCTAAAA